ATGTAAACCCAAATTTGAAATTGAAAAAGAACAAAAAATAATACTCTATATTAATTCAGGTACGAGGAGAATAGGAAGATAAAATTAAAATCTAAAGAATAGGTCTATTCATTTCTTAAGAACGATCTAAGTTTAAGAATACTAGTAACGGTTTGGAAAATAACCCTCACCAGTTGAGGGTTTAGATTGTCCAAATTATGAGCAAAATTCGGTATATCACCCCAATCTGCCGGCCTAACACTACGATATAAAGGACATTCAAAGAGAACGTGAAGAAATGTTTCAGGCACTCTTAGGTTACAAACCGAACAGAGTTCTTCTTGATTAATTCTATAAGCTATGCCATTCCAGAATATATTGCAGTTATAACTCGAACAAAGTCGTATTTGTGTAATAACTCTGATCATGTAAAAAGCACAGTCAGAATAAAGGTACTTCAACGAATGCTTATTTAAATCAAATTGACTATAAAACAAAGTATACGTAGAATTTCGTGCCACTCGATAGTCGGTCTGCAAACATCTTTCACGAAAATGTTTTAATATCTCTGGTTTACTACGTTTTAAAGAAATGTTATTTAAAGACCACAAGTGGGTTATTCCGATTTCTTGAAACCATCTGTAAAAGTTGTAAGCCCAATTAAACTTAGGGGAGGCATTACCACCAAATAACAAAACACAAAATACCCTCTTAAATAAATTTCTAATAATATATGATTGATGAGGAATGATTTAGTTGATAAGTTATCCATTTGTTGTGAACTAGTGAATTCATTATTACTTATATTAATAATAATCCTAATGTTCACTACATTTTCTCTTCTACAAGTTCCACCATCTGAGTAATTAAGTCCCAAGTTTTATTATAACAATAATACTTTATGCGGTTAGGGTTCAAAGACGATGCCGGCTAGAATTATTATATAACCAATGTCCTGTTCACACCAATTTCTCGAAAGTCGGTACTTCTATTGCAGAAACCCTAATCGTTGCCAATATAAAAACTAAGTCAAATACAGCCCATGAGAAGTACTCTTGCCGCCAAAGACAATAGTACCTTCCCAGGCCTTTTTTATAATAAAGATGGCGAGAATTACAACCCTTAGGTTAAATTTAGGTTTATGATTGTACAAACGTTTCGTAACATTTTAGCACCTACATAAAATATGTTATTAGGATAAGTTGATTTTAGGAAATTGTAAAATACCCTTCTTTAGGGAGGTCCTTGGTGGAAGATAGTTGAAGGCAAGGTATTCAGATTCCGAGCTTCACTCTGAACAGTCGGGTTGCCTCTCAACATTCCTAACTGAGTGTCCCCCCTTCAACGAGAATTTTATTAAATGAAATTTTTTTATACAATACCGAGTTTAATTATCGAAGTACGAGATTGGAGCGAGCGGAAAACTCCAGGTACCTACTCAACATATTCGTGGCATCGGTCAACTCCCGATCCGATCGCCAACACATTGATACTCCCCGATTTTTACTTACCTTGCCATAACACTAAAAAAACAGTAAAATTCCTCAAAATCAACAGCGTCATACCTGTAATGGAGTCAAAAATTCTGGAATGGTAAGATAAAGAAAAAAGAGCACCCAACTATTTTTCTGCTAACAGAAACATGGCTCCATGAGATGATTGGTGCAAATTTCTGGATACGCAATATACAGAAAAGATATAGGTCAAATAAGAAAGGAGGGGGCATTTCGCAGCTCGATTCTGGGCCACCATGATCCATGTTCATTCTGCAATCAGCCCCATATATTTCACAGCTGATCCTGTGGCATCATTATGAGTTCATGTTCCAATATCGACCTAAACGCAAATCAATCTAGAAGACAACCTGAAACTTATAAAGATTATAGAACAAGGATACTTTGCACTGAAGATTTCAACTCCACAGAGATCAACTGGAAAATATTCACAGTCAATCCCACGCATCCATGTAGCTCAAATTTCATACCTGCCTGATGATGGTAATTAATGAAGTTGCTAATTTGTTTGCCAGAGTGTTTTTATAAGAGAATAAGATCTAAGCCCAACTTGGATCCTACTACATTCTGTGCTAATTCCTTGAAATTGTAATTTTTACACCCACGAAATTGGAGACTGCACTCAGATCACTGAAGCCAGATTCTAGTCCAGGAGAGAATAAAATCCCAACCATTTTCCTGACCAAGTGTGCTGCAGTTCTGTCACATCCCCTCTCAGCCATAATAAACAATCTTCTCCAGCAGGGCAAACTTTTAAGGTAATGGAAGAATGGAATTGTAGTACCTATTTTCAAGAAAGGAAACAAACACCTGCCTGAAAACTATAGGCCCATTAGCTTAATAAGCACCCTTTGCAAATGCATGGAGACAATTCTGCTATCTGAGATGACTGGATTTTTGCTTGGGAATAGAATCATCACGGGTTCGCCCTCCTGGAAAGTCCACTTTCACGAACCTGCTTACCAAGGTTCACAACTGAACAAGGGCAAATCACTCTGGCCCCAGTCTGTTGATGTATTATACCTGGATTTTGAAAAGGCTTTTGACAAGGTACCATTTGGGCGGCTTGTTCATAAACTCCATCACTATGGTATAAGAGGACTTCTACTCAACCTAATCCAGGATTTTCTGCAGGAAATTTTTAGTGGTGTTCCCAGGGCTCAGTCCTTGGCCCTCTACTCTTTTTTATATATATTAGTTATTAGGAGGGCAAGAGAAATGGATGAATTGAAGGGCATGTTGGGGGAGACGCAGGATAGGGTCACAGATTGGTTTGTGGCCAAACAGCTCAGTCTAAACGCATCAAAAAGCCAGGAGCTGTTCTTGTCGACGCGCGATATTGACTTGCCGGAAAACCGGCCGGTCACTTTCTTGGGGATAGGGATAGACTCGGGGCTCATGTGGAGCTCACAGGTGGACTCTGTTTGTGGGAGGCTGGCGTCGGGGGTGTATGCACTTAGAACTTTGGTGCAGAACGTCTCTGACGTGGTGGCGCGGTTGGTCTTCTTTGCGTGCATCGAGTCCAGGATTTCGTATGGAATCCTGGCATGGGGGCATGTGACTGACTCGCGTCGTGTGTTTGCATTGCAGAGGAGAGCCGTTCGAGTTTAAAATTGACTATAGAGCGGAATGCAGAGAACACTTTATCAGGAACAAAATATTGACAGTCCCATCGTTATATATTGTTCAATGTCTCCTACATGTCAGAAACAACATATCCGACTATGTGACACACGAACATGTTCACTCTCATCACACCAGAAACCGAGACAATATTTACACACCCTTTCATATAATTCACAGAATAAAAACTGGAGTGTCCTACTATGGCCCCAAGTTTTACAATTTACTGCCACCTTCGGTGAGAAACTACTGTAGAAAACTATAATGTTAAACAAATGTTTTTTCTCCACGGATGAATTTGGGAACAATAATTTTAACGATATGATTGTAACATTGTGATCCATAATGTATTTATTTATACTCAGCATATTATAATTATCTCGATAATTCTACTATGCTACACTAAGCTGACTTGTGTAAACTTTGTTTGTAAGTAAATGCACCAATAAAATTATTATTATTATTATTATAGTGACCTGCCAAATGGATTGAGGAGTTAGAGATCGTCATTTGCGGTTGATACCTGTTATTATAGAAATCCTGTAATGCAGAATGGAAGCCTCCAGGGGGATATAGATGTCATCAAACAGTGGACAACCACCTGATAAATGCCACTCAATGACTGTAAGTGTTCAATTCTGCAGCTGGTCAAGAACAACCCCATGAGGGTCCCATGAGACCCAGGCTGGAGTATGCCCAACCCATATGGATTTCTTATTACGTCAAGAATATTGAAGCACTTGAAAAAGTCCAAGGCAGAGCAAGAAAAATTCCCCTAGCTCTTTGTCAAGACAGGCTGCAGAGGCTGAACCTGCCTTCAGTTTATGAGAGATGAACGCGTGGCAATCTTTTGGAGAGGGCACTTTCTTTGATTCACCGATGGATCCATCCGCTTACAATTTACAATAGTCTCATCGGTTTATTTTTCAATGATGTTGCACCCTGCTTTCAGTCTTCGGAGTTCCTTCTGTTTGCAGACGATCTAAAAATCTATAGAGTAATATCTGATCTTAACAACTGCATTGGTTTGCAGGAGGATATCCACAGATTTGTGGCTTGGTGTGCTGATAATGGTATGCATGTTAATATCTCTAAGTGCAATCTCATGATATTTTCGTCGTACAGTTGAAACGTATTTTCATTATCTTATTAATGGTGAAACATTACCATCAATACCATCAGTCGTAAACATAAAGCATCTTGGAATTATTCTTGATGATAAGCTATCATTTTCCTCTCGCATTCACATATCAATCATTGGTAAACCACTGAGAATGTTGGGATTTATTAAACGTAATACTTCTGACTTTGTAACTGTACGGTATGTTCCAATAAAATTCTATATTGCGGTCTTGTTAGAAGCCTCTTGGATTATGACACTTCTGTATGGGACCCACAGTATGCTTTCCATATCCACAGAATTGAGCAAGTGCAGAAGAAATGTATGTCAAAGGCTAAAACTGTCATCACTTCAAGAAAGAAAAAGTATTCATGACCTACCGGGTGACCTACTCCTTCTTAAAATTCTCAACTCCCTTGTTGACTGTCCCTATTTCACTTCCAGCATCGATGTATGTTTACCACCTTTTAATATGAGAAAAATCCCAACCTTCTATCAACCATATCACCGCACTCATGTGTCTCTTGCAAACCAACATCCGCTCCTACTAATGCGTGATAAAATTCAATTTTTGCGAATTTTCTATTGCATTGCTACAAAATTGTGAACAGTTTCACCAACCCGAGAGATTAATTATAGTATAATATACTGGACTGAAATGTATTTAAATCCCCTTAGCGCTTTGCACAAGGTTACAAATATTTTCTATGGAATTCATGGTCCTGGGTCCTGGATTATCTCATTCATCTTTAAATGACATAAAAGTCAAATTTGAAAAATTAGTCACAGATAAATTATCGTAACTCATGGAAGTTTGCAACTGTGTAAGATATGGAGAAATAGCGGATAAATCCAGAGTTTTTACTTTTGGCGACCTGAGACCTTCTGAACCAAAATTACCAGGTTGAATTTCAAAATAACTTATAAAATTCTAAAAAAATATAAATTTCTTGTATATAATAGTTCCAGAAAATTCATGCATCTTTTGGAAAACAGTCAGAACTAGTCATGAAGATTATAGACCAGATAAGCCAATATTGATTAAACAAGTCCCAAAGAAGCAAGAAGATGAAATAGTTGAAGCTTTTGATACAAAATGGATTCCTTTAATGAATCACCTTATATCAGAACGGTAAATTTATTAGTGATTCTTACATACATTTAATTCTAAATTATTTTTTTATTTAGGTTTGTGAAGGAAACTAAAATAGTAGGGAGGCCATTCTAAATAAAAAACATCTTTTTGAACTTAATTATATAAATGTTATTTTAATAATTTCTCTTTTGAGACCCTGAGAGCATTTCCAACATAATTCACTTTTAAATTTGTTTTTATCTTCTACAAACTTTTCAAATAATGTTACTCCTCCGCCGACTCCAAAGTAGTATGATTTGGCTGCAAGAAATCTGTCAAAAATTAAGGAAAATAGGTTTAACAAGAAATAATATAAAATCGATCATAAGGATACATTTCACCATCTTTCTTTAGAAGCCTTTCAAACAATTCATGTAATTTCCCATAGTTTTCTGCATTATAAATTGTCTCTGAAGTGAATATATAATCAAATTTGTCCTCATCTTTTTCAATACCAATTAAATCCGTAAACGATTCCCAATCTCCAGAATGAAAACTACTTTTGCTTAAATAATCCTCCTCACCATTTAATCTGACATTGGGTATTGTGATATACTTCAGTATTTCAGCATTCTTAAACAAATTCATTTTTTGAAACAAAATTCAATAAAATTATTTGAAATACAATATTTACCTACATAATCTTGAAAAGTACACGATGAGCCTTTAGCTAAACATAATAGTCCTATAAGGCCAGCACCACAACCAAGATCAAGAACGTTTTTGTTATTTAAATTTAGATTTTCATCAACCATGTAGCTGATCAAGTCATAAGTACATTCCCAAATTTTAAGTCCACCTAAAATAATTTCTATTATAGTGATGGGTATTTTGAAATAGGTTTACATTTACGAAAAAAACGACTTACCTTCATAGACAGCAGTCTGCAAATCCGAATGATTTTGATCGGCACTTAAAACAGATAATTTTTCTGAAGATGCCCAGTCTTCATTAGTCTTCAATATGTTCAAAACATCGACAGTTGAGAAGTATTTAATATTTACGTCTTTACAATCCAAACTGTTTTCTTCACAGTTGTTGAAAATATCTTTCAAGACATCATCATCCTCATTCGGTTCGATTTTCTTGCTTTCTAGCCATGTAGTGTTTGGAGGAACTGTTGATGATTTAAATGTATGTATATAAATAAATGGGTCAAATTCAGGGATGAAACAGTTTAGGTTAGTGGGAATTATTGAATGTTAGTGAAACGAAACATGAGGTTGTACTTTTCTATTCTCTTCTGTAGTGTGAAAAGTGGTTTTTGAGGAATCAATGAAACATATGAAATCTTGAATTAATGTAGTCTATTACTTACGAATTTCTTCTTCTTTAGTTTTGTTATTTTCATTTGAGAAATTGAATTTGAACATTATTAATTAAAAATTAAACACAAAACTTTCCAAATCAACCAAGGAATCCGAAACTCAAATAACAACAAATAATTTAAGGTTATGTTCTACCGATGTTCTACAGCGCCAAGGAGGATACACACCTACACAGGATTGCTTATCGGCCTCGTTTTTGGTAATCGCCACCATATTGATTGGTGTGTGTGTCACCATTTCTGACGTCATAACTAAGTCGTCAGCTGTTTAAACAGCCTACGTCAAAAGAACCTTACGTCAAGGCGAGAAATAACATGCTGCTACGTCACAACTGGTGATCAAGCGACTAGAGTACTAGCCATGAGCCGAAAATATACAAAATTATATAATCAGATGAAAATTATTCAAAAACTGTACATGGGATTGAATTCATACATACTAACGGAAGGTTGAGGGGGTTTTTACAAACAGCGTGATACCAGTGGCGTACACTCGATCGACCTGCGAATGGAGATTCCATTGAGGTAGAATAATAAGGAGGCGAAATGACGAGACAAACGTATACCAAGTTCCGCCATATTGTGAGTGTTCTTCTGTCTGAAAGTCTGTCACTTTTGTCATAACAACGCGACAGTAATGCATCAGGACCGCATTTTTCATCCGAAGATGTTTTAAATGCGAAAAATTTTTGAAACGCAGAATTTCTTTTTTGGGTTTTAGAAGGATTTTAATTCTGTTTCAGTATGTTGAAGTTTGTGTGGCAACTTCTTCTTTCTTGGCGTAATGTAGATTTTTTTACGTTTTTAGATAAAAATTATAAAGAATTTATTTAGTTCGGCTCTGTGTGAGTAGCCATATTGTTAGTGTCTTTAGCCACGCCCACCGATACCGTTTTTATTGTACTATTCAAATGCTGACAGCGTCTCCCTATTATTCTACCTCCAATGGGAGATTCATACCAAAATATACAAAATTTTATAATCAGATGGCATAATTATTGAGAAACTGTACATGGGATTAAATTCATACTAACAGGGAAGGTTGAGGAAGTTGTCAGAAACAGGTTGATACAGTGGCGTAGCTAGGTGTCGGCGACCGCCGACGGTCTCGCGCCCCAATAGGAGCCACGCAAAAAATTGGTTATAATGAGCCTAAAAATTGGCACTTTTCGATTTCTCCAAATAAAGCGTAGAGAACAGATAAAATTAATTCTATACAGAACTTCTAAATATCATAGAATTTACTGAAAATTATTCATTCTACTGCAAATTAACCTAGAGCTCTCAAATCATATATGGTTTTTATTTTTCCGGTAGATTGTCGGTATTTCGATAAATCGGTTTTTGTGGCAACGCTGATTAGACTGGATAACACCACCACCCCCAGTTGAGCTATCGGACTTCACCTTTGCCTTTGACGTTCGGCATGTGGGATTATTTCACTGTAATGGCAGCAAATATCCAGTTAAGTTCTCCAAAATTTTGTAGATGGCGCGAGTGAACTTGGAGTGCTTCAAATTTTGGCGGTAAATGTCAATAGTTTTAATCCATTTAAATTGAGTAGAAAGAAAGATGACTACAATAAGAACAATGAACAATGAATGAGTTAAAATATCTTCCAAAGCGTTCAGTGGCCCTAGAGAATATTTTTAAAAGTGTCAGCGTCAGCTTGTCTTGAAACCACACATCAGACTTAACTTTTGGGGTTAAAATTACAATCAATTATTTACGTGCCAAAATTTAAATAGCTCCAAGTACAGAAGCGCCCTCTTCAACTCAACTGTCAATATTACATGCCATGTAAAAATTTTGCGAGATAGGTAAGTCAGTTTAATATCATTTTATCATTTAACTTTGATATTTTTTGTATGAAAATAATGTATACTACCAAAATAAAGGGGAAATAAAATAAAAAAATAATATAGCGAATTCTATTGGTAGAACCAGTGCAAAAAAAAAAATGCATTTTCGAATACAATCAGTGCGCACTAACTCTTCCAATAGAATTCGCTATCGATTAAACTTTGGTAGGACTTAAGGAACTATAGTTGTATTTCTTTCAAGAGCTTGAAACACTCGAGCTACTCGCTCCGGTGTTTAGTCGCCCCCGATTTGCAGGAAACAGATGCGTGGTGCAACTAACACTTTTCGGAAGGAATAAGCGCGTGAAGCCCTGGAGCTGTTCCGGAGCTCCTCCCACGTGTGAAAGGAAAGGAATACAACTTTTATCGGGTCTTCAAAAAAAAAAACAATCAAAGATTGCTTTGATTACGAAAACGTACGTTGCATTATTGTTTCTTTATTGGTCAGGATTTTTGACATGACATTTTGACATTAAAGTTCATTTACAAAAGGCAATTTTCCGCGAGGATAATCAAACATAAAGCCGGGCTCAGATGACTCGTGTACATGGCGAATATACAATTATTCGCGTACTTGGCAAGTATACTAGCTTTGTGAATTGCGATGGCAAGCAGGGCGCTCACACGACGTGTTCAATTTACAAGTACGCGAGCGCGAACATTTGGCTAAGCCTTGATGCTCGTCGAAAACTAAATGAAATAGTCGCAGTAAAAGCCAATTATTTGTGCATTTCGTTTGAGCGCCTCTACAAGTATAGACAAATATGAACTTGGCAAGTGTACGAATAATCGTGATCCCTTTGACTCGGGACATTTTTACCGACAGGAAATGGAAAACCAACGAGTCACAAATAATTGTACAAGTAACCCACTCACACGATATGGCAAGTATACGCAAGTTGTAGGTGGTAGACGCTTTTTACTCATTGGGCATCGACCGGTGAGATACCACCATGCCAGAATTGAGTAGCGCTAAGTGGTATCACCACGTTCCGCTACTGCGCTGGCAGTCCGGTTCCAACAATGAGTAACAGAAAGCATGATGGCGCCTCCAGGATCAAAATATTCCGGAGGTAAAATACCCGACCACTCGGATCTCCGGGCGTCGGGTGATCCTGGGGGTCCTTTATGCAAAGATATAAAGAGAAGATCAAAAACTCAACTCAGAATTGATTTTAGCAATATAAGAGGAATAAGTACAAATATGAATTCAGTTCACCAACATCTTGAAGAACAAAGACCTGACATCCTTGTTCTCACTGAAACTAAAATCAGTTCTGCAACACCTATTGTGAACTATCTTTATCCCGGCTATGACCTACACCACCGATTTCGACATAATTTTGGGATCTGTGTGTACATTAAAAATGAGCTTTCATGTCATCGAGAGGAGAAACTAGAACCAGCGAACCTTGATATCATATGGCTAAAATTCACCTCAAAGTCATCGACCAAGTTTATCTGCTGCCTCTACCGACCGCCAAGTAACACCGATTACCAAAACTTTTTCGCGACATTATCCGAAAGCTGTGATAGTATACAGTCAAACTATCCACAGGCAGAAATTGTTTTTTTAGGCGATTTCAACGTCCACAATATACCCTGGCTGAAACACCACAACAAAACAGATAACGAAGGCAGAGAAGCAGAAGCTTTTGCCATAAGTTGTGGTCTAACGCAGCTTGTCGATGAACCTACCCGTATCTCAGAAAGGGGCGAATTTGCAGCGCTTTTAGACTTGTTCCTAACCACCAATCCTGACTCGTACACAATTCAAGTAGATGCTCCACTTGGTTCGTCCGATCATAAACTTATAATAACAAAGTGCGAAATGCTCATCCCACCAAGCCTACAACCACTTCCTCGTAAAATTTGGCACTATAAATCGGCAAAATGGAATGACCTAAAAACAGTATTACCTGGATTTTCCATGGCAAGAGGTTTGCTTTAAAACAGCTGATCCCACTATTTGCTGTAATGAAATAACACAAGTAATCTTATCTGGAATGGACGCATATATCCCACATACAACTAAACGTAGAGCTAATGCAAAACCTTGGTTCAACAGCCAGTGTCAAACGGCTGTACAGAAAAAACACAGAGCATATAACCTTTGGAAACGACAACAAACCGCTCAAAACCACACAGAATTTATAGAAGCCAGAAATAGTTGCAAAATTACTATTGACTCCGTTTTTCATGCAGGCTTTTATTTTCACCATTGCAAACACAAATGGTACGAGAAGGATGTTGTGATTGGAAAGATCTTAGTCGAATATGGCAGAGACACCAGCAAAGTCCAGGACACATGGAGTGCATGTTTAAATGGATGGAATTCTACAAAGGAATCGAACATGGAAAAACAATTGACATGGAAAACGAGAGATTGATTAGCGATCGCAAAAATATTGGTACAACTTGTTTGAAAGACTGGTTGATATCATCAACTATTTAGCCTCCCACAATCTTGCATTAAAAAGTCATCGAGAATCCTATAAGATAGATGATAGCGGCAACAGTGGAAACTTCATGGACCTGTTCAAGTTGTTATCCAAATATGATCTGACACTGCAAGAACACTTGCGACGCATGAATGAAAAACGTCTTGCTCAACATTATCTTAGCCCTGATATCCAAAACGAATTGATAACTTTATTGTCTCAATCAGTTATTGACAGGGCCGGACTGGGTCTTCGAAGCGGCCCGGGCGAATGATTCAAACCGGCCCTTTTTTATGTAGAAAAAAATCTTCAAGTCGAACAGTTATATTACGTATAAATCAAAAAATATAAAATTCTATGAAAAACAAAATAAATTCCTATATTACGTATAAAACAAAAAATATAAAAACGTATGAAAAACAAAATAGATTCTAATTAACTAATTAACACAAAATTTAATTGTGCAACAATTGCACATTTGGTAAGTGAGGAACAAAATAGATTCTAATTAACTAATTACCACACAATTTAATTGTGCAACAATTGCACATTTGGTAAATGAGGAACAAAAGTTTATGATTCAAAAATTAGGTATAGGGTCTTCCAACGAGGACTGAACAGGGGCTTATTTTTGACCATACTAGAAGTACATTTTTTCCAAAAATCGTATAAAAAATGGCATGTTCCATTTAAAAAACACCCTGTCTATATCGTAACTCTTCTGTTTCTGGTTCAAATGTTTTTTTGGTGACGTTTTCGAGTTCCACGGAAAAAAATACATCGATTGACTATTTTGGATTTTTAAAAAAACACAAGGAAGGTCAAAAATAAGCCCCTGTTCAGTCCTCGTTGGAAGACCCTGTACCTCTTAAAAAAAAATTATTACAATAGTAAAAGCAGCTCAGCAGCGACGGCAGCAGGTTTAAATGAGCTGCTCCCTTAAACCTTTATAGTGATTTGTCAAATAATTCACAATTTCGTTATTTTCAATAGACATTAAAATATCTTTTTCGCAAGACATAAGCATGAAAGCCTCTAAGTGGTCTTGAGTCAGACAGCTTCTTAATCTATTTAAAATAAACTTTAATTTGGAAAACGACCTTTCACAGGCTACTTGAGAAATGGAAAGAGTAAGTAAATATTTATAAGCTTTTTCTAGATTAGGGTATGCCTCGGCATATAAGTTGTATTTCTGCAAAACATAGTAACAACAACTAATACAGTTTTTGCAGAACTTATGCGAAGTGTTATTTTCTGCTCCAGCTTCATCTTGTATAAATTCTTCTTTGGTATTTTCTCTTTCTTCTGGCAATGCTGATGATAACGTATTCCACTTGGAACCAAAATCTAAAAGTTCCATTTGTAGATTATCTTCTATGATATCAGGATAAAACTTGGTTAGCTTTTCACAAACTTTTTGGAGAATGTTTGTCGAGAAACTTTGAAGTTTAGAGAAATTTGAAGGGTGAAAGCACTCGAAGTCCTCATACAATTCTTTATGCTTCCCAAATCTAGCTTCTAAGACATTAATTACTTTGTCCATAGTGACATTGAAAACTTCTACTCGAAACTTGTCCACTGGATTTTGGAGTGCTTCATCTTCACAATTTTCATCGTGGAATTTCTTTTTTCGTGTTCTCCTTCTAGCACACATTTCTCTGTTGACCTCCAGCGGAATTTCCTTTTCCATAAAGTGCCCATTCACTTTGAGTATAAATTCTTCCGTTTCTACCACGACTTTATCAAACTCTCGAGAAAATGTTTTGAGGGTTTTTATCGTATCTTCGACCATGCGGTAGGCTTGTAACAAATCCATTCCTGACGTCTGCAGATACTTCGAAAGTGGGGAAGTTAGCATGAAAATTTTTTTGAACAAAATTGAAGTAATAACCGTCTCATACTTCAAAAATCCATCAAGAAGAGTTTGTGCTGTATATCGTACCTCTGCATTGAAGCTCTGAGATTCTGCTATTTCATAAAATGTTTCGCATAATTGCACGAAGATCCCGTTACTATCACCAAAAATTTTTAATAGTGCCTTATCTTTGGACCACCATCTGGTTTCTCCGATTACATTCAAAAAACTACTTGTTGACGCTGATTTCCACACATTCATTCTTAAATACGATTCTCTCACAAAGACGGCTGATTTATTTAGGAGTCCAAACAACGAAATAACCGGAACTGTCAGTTTTGTCACGTCTCCTATCACCAAATTTAGCACATGTGCATAACACCAGACATGTATTTGGCCAGGAGAGAATTTTGACAGCCATGTTGTGAAACCATTGTACTGCCCTTGCATGTTTGCTGCGCCGTCGGTTGAGTTACCAATACAGTTAGTGATATCAAGCCCCAACTGAGATATGCATGAGGCCACCATTTCGTACATATCTTTTCCCTTGCTGGAAGTACAATTGATTAAATTAATTAACCGCTCATGTACTTTATTACTTTTCACATATCGGATAATTATAGAACATTGGTCAACTACATTTATATCTTGAGTAGTATCAATTTGTATAGAATATATTTTGGCATTTTTAACTTCAATCGCAATTTTTTGCATAATAAGGCTTGATATTGCAGCTATTATATTATTGACCGTTGACTTTGACAAAAAGGTTACCAAATTACCTCTGCCTTTTGAATGACTTCCTACTCTTTGAAGACGGGTTTGACTTTTTACCGCAACTTCTTCAATATGTTTTCGCAATAACGGATCAAATTTTGAAATTACTAAGACAATTTCTAGAAAATTTCCGTGATCTATATTCTCATTTAGCAAGGAATATGCCGCTTCATTCTGGCTATCGCCCCTATAGCTTAGACCACGTTTTCCAACTAATTTTATGGTTTCGATCACCCTTTCTAGAATTTTCCTGTTATTTTCTAATTTAGCTCTTCTTTCTGCAGCAGCACTTGAAAAAAGCAAATTATGCACATCTTTGTTTTTCTTATGTATTAAGTAAGCTTCGGTACTGAGTATATGGCCTTTAGTTGATTCATGCTCTTCAAGTCTGGTGTATATATGTTTTACAGAATAATTAATACCAGCAGCTAAACTATTCACCCCAGTATCTCTACCAAAAGCTAAGCACACCCAACAGTGAACCATTTTTTCTGAACTGTTGAAACTTACCCATGTTCTTCTAGATCCAGATTTTCTGAAATATATTAAACGGGCATTGTAATTACTTTCAACAAGGTCAATGGGTTGTTGAGGGTGGCTGTTTAGGAACAGTTGCAGCTCTTTTAGGTTTGATGGTTTTTTAAAGGAACAAACCTCTACCTGGTCCCTATCTTCACCTTCGCTGATTTCTTCCTGTTGATCATTGGCTTTTGCATTCACATTTTCTTGAAAAGAACTAACAGGAGCTGAAGCTAGAGATACTACGTTTTGCTCAACCATTTCGAAAGGAGTCAATTCATCAGTTGCCTCTTCATTTGAATTTGAAGTTGTATTTGTAGGTGCCTCTTGAAATTCTTGAGAATGAGAAATGTCGTTTTCTTTGTTTTCTAGTTCAAGAGCATCAACACTTTCTTTGTTTTTTGATGCCTCGTTATCTTTGGCGTTTTGCAAATTCACCAATCTTTGTTTTGCAGCAAATAATTCTGATATGGTATGGCAACTCTCCGCGCTTTTATCCAAAAGTCTTTTCTTTTTTTCCCTTTCCTTTTCCGCACCTCCTTTTCTTTTTTTCGTTTGTTTGATTTTTTCATTTTCTCTATTATTATTACCACCAAACATATTTACTGAAAGAAAATAATAAAAATTAAAAGTTAATTACATTTAAGTTACTGCGGTAAATACATTTATTTTGGTCATTCGCTTGAAATTGAAATTCATCGAAGAAATTTAATTAGAGTGAAAACCTTAAAAACATACACAAACATAACCTATAACCTACACAGACACACACACACAGATGATTTAAGCCAAGGGCCAATATTGAAACTAAAACTACAACAAACTCAAACAACAACAAAAATTTTGCTTACCTTAAATAATTTATTTATGGCGTACCTGCTGCGGAGTCCAGTTTTGTTAATGGTTTTCGTGGATTTTCATGGAAAGATGAAAGATATTATCAAGCGGTGACTGGTACGACGAAGCGGCAGGCTTGGGCCTTGGCTGATTACTACATTCAACCTTTCTTGTTCTTGTCACTGCTTGCCTTTTTAGCTTGCGTTCGGTATTGTATTGAGGCGGAGATCAGAGTATCAGAGCGCTCGAAATCCTAACGAACGCGATTGAGCCTACACCCTACACCGAGCAGTGAGCACACTTTTTAATAATCGAACGATTCGAACGGTAAATTCAAGCTCGGAGAACTCGGATCAAAATACCGAACGCGCGGTTCTACGTCGAATTAGAGCGGTAGTGTGTAAAAATTTATTTATTATTTATATTTAATTTTTGATCGATCCAATTTTTGGTTGATCGTCGCAGAACCGACCGGCCCATCAGCCCCTAAAACCCACCCGGCCCATCGGGCTGCGCCCGATCGCCCGGCCTGCCAGTCCGGCCCTGGTTATTGAGGAAATAATGCAAAGAGTCAAACAAGCAAAATATTATGCTTTCATGCTCGACTGCACCAGAGATGTGAGCCGTGTTGAACAAATGTCGATAATACTTCGATTTTGCAATTCCGCGACCGGGGAAATAGAGAAACACTTTATCGCATTTATTGCTGTAACAGAAACAACAGGAGAGCATTTGACAAATTCAATTTTGCGAAAACTAGAAAAAAATGGGTTGGACATCCAGAACTATCGAGGGCAGGGATACGACAACGGCGCCAATATGGTCGGCATAAATAAAGACGTCAAGACAAGAATACTTAATATTAATCCAAGAGCATTCTTTACGCCTTGTGGTTGTCACAATCGAAATTTGCTATTAGAAGATGCAGCAAATTCTTCTGTTTAGAGCCAAAACTTTTTTTGGCTTTATAAATAAAATATATGTGCTCTTTTCAGCGTCAAGTAAACGCTGGGAGCTTGTTAAATCTAAACTAAAATTATTGACGTTAAAATCGCTCTCTGAGACAAGATGGGAGAGTCGGATTGGAGCAGTTAAAGCAATATTTTTGCAATTTGATGATATCATAGACTGTGTAAATGATCTACAAGATAGAGATTCTGATACTCTCAGTGACTGTGAAGCTATCCTTAATGAAATATTCACTTTCGAGTTTGTGGTTGCAATACACGTTTGGTACGAAATTTTGCTACGTGTCAACAATATAAGCAAACTATGGCAGTCGGTTGATGTTAACTTAAAGGGCGCCGTTGATAATTTAAATTCTTTTTGTAACTGGATACAAGAATATCGTAATACAGGATTTGAAGAAGCTGTGGCAAAAGCTCGATTGCTTGTAGAAAAAAGTAGTTATGAAATCCCGACACAATTCAAAGACAAAAGAATAGCGCGAGAGAAAAGAATGTTTGGGTATGAACAAATTGATGAACTTATGCAATCTACTGAAATACAGTTCAAAGTTGACTTTTTCATTACTATGGTAGATTCTATCATAGCTGACACTAAACGTCGATTTAAAGCACTTAACAAATACTTCGAACGATTTTGTTTTATTTACGACATAAACTATTTGAAATCTCTATCAAAAAAAGATCTGCACAAGCATTGTAAGGATTTGACCACAATACTACGGCAAGGTGAAAAAAAGCGACATTCAGCCCTTCGAGATATTTGGGGAACTCCAGCTTTTCAGGTCTAACTCACCGGACTCTATAACCGATGCAAAGCAACTTTTACGATACATTTTAGAAAATAATTTGCAAGAAATATATTCAAATATTTATATAGCGATCAGAATTATGCTGACAATTGGGGGTTAGTACAGCTTCAGCTGAGAGGAGCTTTTCAAAGCTGAAACTTATTAAGAACTATTTAAGAACCACGATGAGACAACAGAGACTATCTGCATTGATAGTTTTATCGATCGAAGCTGAAATAGCGTCTTCTTTAAATTACGACTCGATACTGAAAAAATTCAGTCAAGCTAAAAGCCGAAAAGTGCCTATTTTATAATGTTTATGTACTACACTATTCATATACCTAATATTTGATTAGCTTTGGATGTTTAGAGGAAATGGTATTTGACAAAAAACTTGTTCTTATCAGGTATCGTTGTTTAATTCAATTAGTCAGCACTTTCCCTAACTGGCAACCGACGTCCAGGTTTGGTTTGGCTACACCACTGGGTTGATACCAAAGGAGTAAACTCGATCGACCTACAAATGGAGATTCATACGAAAATATACAAAATTTTATGATCAGATGACAATTATTAAAAAACTGTACATATGGGATTAAATTCATACTAACAAGGTAGGTTGAGGGGGTTGTCAGAAACAGTGTGATACCAGTGGCATACACTCGATCGATCTACGAATGGAGATTCAAAACTGTACATAGGATTAAATTCATACCAATGGGGAAGATTGAGGGGGTTGTCAGAAACAGGGTGATACCAGTGGCATACACTCGATCGATCTACGAATGGAGATTTAAAACTGTACATAGGATTAAATTCATACCAATGGGGAAGGTTTAGGTGGTTATCAGAAATAGGGTGACACCAGTGTTGTATTTTACACTCGATCGACCAACGAACGGAGATTCATACGAAAATATACAAAATTATAGATATAATCAAATGACAATTATTCAAAAACAGTACATGGGATTAAATTCATACTAACAGGGTACACTGAGAAATCTACCTTATGTCCCTTGCCAATTTTTTAGCGACCACAGCTAATTTTTTTTTTAGAATAGGCTCCAGCCAAGTTCTTAACTGTGGTATTATAATAGAGTTAACTTTATTGAACCGTCTTACCCGTGGCAGTAAAGTAACTTTGTTGTGACTATAAAGGATATCTTTGTCGTTAGAATAAAGTAACTTTATTGTGACTATAAAGTGACTTTGCTACGACTATACAGTTTTTTTTATGACAATAAAGTAGGTAACTTTATTTACGACTAATGTATAATGTGCGTATTATATTTGTGATTTTGGCAGTATAATGACATATGTTATTCCTCCAGGGATTAATGACGAGTAGCGGGATTAATGGTCATTATTCCTCAAAAGTTTCAGTGTCAAACGTGTAGTGCTTGTGGTTTTACTGGTTTTGTATTGAGATGTATGAAATTTGTTCATTAAAAATCTCAAATAAATTAATTTGTCGTAAATAAAGCAGAGTATACTACTCGCAATAATGGCTATTATTCCCTCGGAATGTTACTCCCTCGCCGCTAACGCGGCTCAGTTCGTAAATATTTCTCGGGATTAATAGCTATCATTATTGACTCGTGGTATAATCTACTATTATTGTGGCTACAAAGTAAATTTGGTGCTACTATAAAGTATTTTTGTGTGACCATAAAATTACTTTGCAGTGACAATAAAGTCAGTTGCTCATGGTTAAGAAGTTGATTATGGCCGTTTGCACCGATCATTTTAAGGACGCCTTAGCGATAAGTATCCAATGACATTTTTACGTGGAGAAATGTCACTTTAAGGAAAACTTATCGCTAAGGCTTCCTTAAAATGGTCGGTGCAAACGGCCATTAGTGGGGTAAATATGTTCATGGGGTAAATAAAACACAAATACCTACAATTAAACAATACATATATTTTATTAAAAAATAATATTTTTTTTATAGAAATAAAATATGGACAGAAAAATGGAAAATTGTTATTCCCGTTATAAGAAAAAAAAAATCTTATAATGAAAAATCAAAAAACTTAAATCTATAAAGGAGCATAAACAATAAATACAATAATACAAGAGCCTTTATATAGGGAGATCAGTAATGAGATAGGAGGTTGGTTGAATCAAAACAAACTTGGAGAAGTCCTGTTACAAATGCACTGCCTCCTCGATCAATTAAAAATACCTATAATAATATTCGAAAAAAGGATTAGGCTACGCCATCTTGTTTAAGACAATAACAGAAAACCAACATTTTTTATTTTAGCGTCGGGAAACCTCGTGGATCGCAAATCACTCCCCACCTCACCACCTGACGGATTTTGTTGAAAATCTTTTGGCTGAAGAAGCCAAAATCTTTCCAGCAATAATTAAAAAAACTTATAAAAAACTTTTTCATAGTTGCTACTGTATCAGGAAAAAACTATTAGTGGCAGAAAAAAACTTTACTGTTACAGCAAAGTGACATTATGTTAACATAGTAAAGTGCATCCTACAACTAGAATAGGATCGTTTTGCAATTCCAGCTAAAATTTCTGCTATGATAGCTGAAATTACACTAGTAAAGAATTTTTGGCTGGAAGTTTTCTCAGTGTAGGTTGAGGGAGTTGTCAGAAACAGGGCTGAGAAACACCTATTATTTTCCAACGAAATTCACAATTAGTGATTCGCATCTATATGAACTACGCTTTAAATATTCGACGTTCTAAATCACAAATTTTAAAACTCGCGGAAATGCCGAAAATTAACACGATAAGAACTGGAATGGAATAAATAAGCAACCAAAAAAACACCCTTGAAATGAATGTCATTTATTTTTAAAAAAATCGTTATGTACAAAATGTTAGTTTAAACATCACTCGGAGCAAAATTATTAAAATTACTAAATCATCACAATACAATCAATTAATTCGCACGCGTCCATTAAAGCTTAACATGTCTGAGCTTCTACTTAGCTCAGAATCGATTATATCTTCTTTGAGCCGAGAAACCGCCCGCCGCAGGTCTGTTGTACTGGACGGGAACTTGTGCTGGCTGCCTGGCGATGAGGTCTAATGATCTTTGGATTTCAACTGGAATTGGTGGAGGTGTTGGAATATGAGCACCTTCAGCTCTGAAACCATTTTCATCGGCTATCCAGTTGACAGTAATTGGAGTACCTAGAAAGAAATTATTATAGATAACTTCAACAAATATGTATTGTACAAAAGTGGTTATACTAAAGAGGTTGGATATAGTTCCTATATATAGTTCCATAGAGTTTCGGAGTTCGTATCTTTTACGTATTACCCAATCTCGTGAGGCTCCTTCCAAAACTATAGAGATATAGGAACTTTTCTTAAATACTTTTATATAAAAATTACCATCTGGAGCGGTATAGGAATAAGATCCCTGGATAACTTCGGCTTCATTGTCTTTTTGTCCCTGATTTTTCAGATATCCTTGTGCTTGTGCTTGAGCACCATCTCCCGAAACGTAACTGAAATGAACAATAATTAAAAAAGTGAAAGATACTTTCCAACAAAAAAAAAAGCCAATAAGCAGCTGTCTGATTCGTTACCGTTTTCAACATATCGATATTTTTGTGATTTATTTGCTATTTCGCACTTTCTCAATAGAAGCATGTGCCAGGAATATATGTCATTCTGAAGAAATATGCCATTTTATTTGTGACAAAGTAGAAAATACTATAGAAATTATGATATATCTGAAACGGTAATAAGAAATCAAAAAGGTATTTACTATGGACTTTTATGTTGGAAACGACTTCCTCTACCTCGTCTCTTAATTTGTTCAATTATTTTTGAGACACCCTGTATAGATTAGTTTGGTGATAACATAACGTCGTAAAATATGAGAGTAAAAGGTTGATGGTATGTTGTGCTTTAATCTATATTAAAAGTTTTCACATTGTTGAACAAGGTTAATTATTGGTAAAGCTTGTTTTTCTGGTAGGTACTTCGGAATTTTGATAATTTCCCTTCTATGCGCTTCCAACATGGAACTTACATTAATTAAAATAATTTGTTTCATTTGAAAAAAATTATTTGAATAATATTGGTGTCTAAAAACAGAACTGTTGTAGGCACCAAGAAAAATTACCTAAGTATTACAAGTACAAGTTTCTTTCCAATAGATACCAATCAAGTACAAGTACCAAATTCCACGAAAATCAGAGTCAAGTTCTAGTATTTACTTAGATTTGCGTACTTGAAAAGCTATTTAAGTACAAATACTTTAATAAATTAATTATCGATAATCTTTAATGGGAAATATTCATAGACATGAATAGTTTCTTACCTGTAACTGAAAGAACCATCGGGATTAATTTCATTTGACTCAGAGACAATCGGCACAGCAGGTTGATTGCTGTAGACTTGTTGCCTTTGTTGGTACTGGGGTTGTCTGTAGAAATTTTGAGGTGCAGCCATAGCTGCAGCTAAGAGACATCCGAAAACGATCTAGAAATACAAACATTTTTTTCATTTAAGCATCAGAAGCCTCATTTGAACGACTTAGTATTATAGACCAATAAAATATATTATTTTCAGGGGCCGATTAAAAAATTATAATTAACACAAACCAGACACATGTAAATTGTTCTTACCAGCAACATGTCGATAGAAATATAATCCACAAAAATTGCACAAAACGCACAAAACTATCAATGTGCCAAATGCGCCTAAACACCGAGTATTTATAAGGGGCCCCCACCGGTATACCATCATCATAAATAGTATTTTGGATCATCTCGCGTATAGCACGCCCATCCCCAAAGTTATGCACAAAGAATGAAGATGCAAGGTCAATAATGGTGGGTGGTTTTAAATCTTCCTAATCCTTCTATTTCTAGTATTTTTTTGTGTGTGGGAAATTTGCCAAAAACTGATCTTGATTAGATTATTTTCAAATATAATTACATAATTCGACATTTAAAAAAACATGTAGAAAGATAATAGATTTGATTTTGACATTTTGTATGTTCTCCCAAGTTATATACTTATGGCTGGACAAAAAGGGTTTTCAAAATATCTAAGTGATCTAAGATCACCGCTCATCATACTAATATAAAAATATTGTCGTGTTTAGAGGGGTTTATAACAGTGAATAAAAGGGACCATTATAAAAAAGATGAGTCTAGTATACATTCCATATTCTTTTTAATAAAACTTCCAAACTTCAATTCTTGATGAAGAAACTGACCCATAACTATTTTTTTCTAGATCCATCTCTTTAGCAAAATATAACAAGCCGGCATAAAATAGACATTAAATATTCATATACATAACAAGCAAATGCTTTAACCTAAATATGGTAACGTCAATGCATCAGTACCTAAACATTTGACATTGGAATTGGTACGTATAATTAACTGTAATGGCATGTTAATCTTCGGAACAAGTGTCATTTTGTTGGGTAAGGTACCAATTTGCATATCGATTGTTTCATATTATGATAGAATTATTGATATGAGGACAATTCGAATACCATTTTATGAGATGCGCTTCCATTCAAAAGGGATCAAATGAGTCATGATGAAGTGATAATTGCTAACAATTGTAAAAGTGAAGCAATACCAATACATTTTTCTTACACAATTTTTTTTCTGAAAATTAATAAAAGCTTGAATAATTTATTGATCAATTAATTTAATCGCCATATACCTATAGTATATTATTATGATTGACTTTTATTGGTTCAAATTAAGTTCTTAAAAACCTACATAATTTGGTTTAGTAAGATATATAGATATACAAATATAAACATATTATTATGATACGAAAGACTACACCTAAGCCTATAGCAAACCATTCTTGATATATTTATAAAAATTTCATACTTTATGATCCAAATTTGATTGTTAGGAAAATGGCGATATTTCACCTTATGGTTGAAACGTTAATGGATTATTTAATACTTTACCAAAAAAATTCTTTGGCCTGTTTCACCCTGTGTAAAATATTGCTCCTGCTTGTAATGAAGGATTTCCGTAACTTCCTGAAATAAACTGACACAAGTTCTTGAAGGATCCCAAAGAAATTTCACAAACTTTGAATCAGCATTGGGAGAACAAAACCGAGTTTTACCAATGTCAGACAATACAGAGACTATAATAAAATAAGGTTAAAGCGTTCTTTATCCCAATGCTTCAATAGGATGTGCATCAAGTGATTTAGGGATCATGAGATTTTCGATACAAAGAATATTGAAAGAACATCAGAAGCACGAAGCACGACTACAAGGAAGTTAGCAGGTATTAAGGCGAGAAGTTTCTCCAAATAAGGTATTATTTTACGTGCGATGCAAGTTTTTCTATCGATAATGAGTGACGATTCAAAATTTACAAGAAAGGGGATATTCAACAGAATAAATAAGAGGAGTTTAAGGGAACATTTCAAAATGTTCTCAAGTCGACGGTCGGCAAAAGATTGAGGGTAAATAATGAAAAAAAAAAGACAAATTCAGTATAAAATCAGTATTTACTAATAATCTTATTAGGCCAAACTTAAATAAGTGCCTACATCTACTGTTGGAGGAGAAAGTCGTTTCATCTAACTATAACCCCTATTCAATTAACCTTCCTCTTAATTCTCACAGAATAAAATAGAAAAACTAATTTAGTTTTTGACACGATAAATCCAGAAATAATACTCAAACAGTGAAACAACTTACCAATAACAAATTTAACTAAACAAGTGAAAATTAAAATAAACAACATAGTAACAAATACAATGTCCAAGAAATAATACTGATACAAAGGCAATTCAGACTTATCGCATCTTAGTAGTTGCAGATCCGGATGTCTCAGGACGTATTCGGTCCACCAAGCTGCTTTTTCCACACCTGACATCGGTTGGTCGGATATTTGTTTGGCCAGTCGTAGAGCAGAATTTTTGTAGCTGGAAATTAATTTATTTATTTACAGAACATGCACAAAAGAATACCGACCTATCAGTTGTAATAAGTTCCATAATAGTACTTCTAAGCTCTGCTTCTTCTAAACTGCTAGGATTCAATGACAAGCCTAAACCAAACTCAACTACTTTTCTAGCATTCAGAACCTGATCACCGAAAAACGGCATCACTAAAACTGGAATTCCAACGAACAAAGCCTCTTCCAAACTCTGCAAACCACCTTGAGTAATGAACAATTTTACATTGGGATGCCGAAGAACGGCCTGCTGAGGCAACCAACTCCTGGTGAAAATATTTTTTGCAATTTCCTGCTGTGACCCATTTTCATATTTCCATAAAACTCTGAAAGGTAGTTGACTCAGTGTGTTGATTAGCACTGATTTAAGTTTCGGTGATAACTGAGAACTGTTAATTGAGCTGCCCAAGCTGAAGTATATCACACCTTGTGGCGCTTCATCCAAATAAGTTCTGATATCCTAGAAAGTAAATTAATCAACAAAAAGGTAGGTATATATTTAATTTGACTATTACGTCTGGTAAGGGTTTTGGCTGGGTCTCGATGTGCAACCCACCACCAACATTAATAGTGCGAACAGTCAAAGGCCTCACACTGTGAAACACTGGATTCGAATTAATGAAAATCATATCGACTCTCTTCCCTAACTCTTGTAGTGGAGGCATATCTTCACCAAAATACTTTTTGATAACGACTCTGTCAAGCTCTTTATTAAGTTTATAAATATTAAATTGCCAAATGAAGTGAACGGCTATGCTCATGAATCTTTGCTTTAAATTGAGCTTACCAGTGTACCCCAAATCGAAATGAGGATACAGTATTGGATGGGTGGGATTTCCAACTTTGTTATGGATGTCTTGGTTAGCATCCATTGACATTATACCTAATAAAATAAAAGATTCAGTCAAATTAAATTATTTCATAACTTAAACTTACCTATTAAAGAGCAATTGTATTTATAAGCAAAAGCAGCCCCTATAGTAGCATAATATTCAGTTATAACCAAATCAAAATGGCCACTATCCTGAAATAACTTCCTCACTTCTGGCTGATTCAATTCACTATCAACAATCAGCGGCATCACATTCACAATTTTCAATACAAGTTCAATTCCCTCTCCGGATTTCAGCATTTCATAAAAACCTTCCTTCTCCAAAATCTTATAGACAACGCTTAAGTCGATTTGAGTAATGTTTTCATGGTGCTCCATAGGGTTTAAAGTGAGTAAAGTTAGATGATGACCTCTGTCTGCTAATTCCCTAAACAAAGGTCTGTAAGCTGCTTGGTGACTGTAGAACGGCAAAGGAATGTAGATGAGGATTCTCGAAGAGAGGGTCGCTTGAGGGAAGAGTAGAAAGGCAACAAGGACGAGAGTGAGATCCATGGCTGAAAAAGAAAAGTTATATTAATAATGTATAGTTTATTGAAAATGAGGTTTAGGACCAGTAAAACTCTAAGTTTTATTTGAAAATTGCCAACGTTTCGACTTTTTCAAGATGTTTGTTAAAAAACCATGGAATCTGTTAAAGTTATTACAGACTTTGCTATTAGGTACTATTAATATTACTGTCACACATTATACATACAGAATGGGAAACTTAGACAGAATGGGACGGAATTTATATTATGTAGACATAAAAAAAAACAATTTTCACAACACAAACTATGCCCTACGGCCCTATAGACACACTAGAATGACAAACACGTTTTATGGAATACAACGTTACCAGCCAGAGCCAAAGCGCAAAATTCTGCTGCTGAATACTAATCCAAATGTTGATTAAGTGATAAATAAAAATAATAATAATAATAGATAAAGATTTGACCCCAGCAGTATTCGCGTTTTTTGCGATTGGTGACAACGTGTTTTGAGCGCGGTCGATATGTTAGGTACTGTAAATGCCCGAAATTCGGTAAAACCTAGGATAAGCGCGCTAAACCTAGGATTTACCAGAAGCAAGTGGTAAAAGCCCGAAAACTAGTTATTTTACTTCCATTTCGGACTTTTACCGGACACAAACAGTAAATCTTAGGATTTACCATAACGCATTGGTAAAAGTACGAATACCACTGATACATTACAGAAATCGATATCGTGAAACGATAATCGTTAAAATTTCAATGTTTAAAAATAAGATACTTTATAAATGAAACAAAAAGTCACACCGAAACACTTTTTGTTTTAATATTCTTAAATCTAAACAGAAATCATAGTCGCCTTAAACGAGATATTAAAAAAAAAAAAAACAATAATTCAAGTACTAATAATAGGTTTGTTCGGACTTGGTTCAGAATTAGTTCTGAATTGAACTGCGCTTGCGCATTTGTTCATATATGTCCGAACAAATCTAATATTGCAAAAAGTATAGGTATAGTATTTTCAAACTCAGTTAAAACAAGATACCAACTGGTAGCTGACTGGTCACTGGATATTTCCATAAGAAATGCACTGCCTTTAGTCAGCCACCAGTTATGAGTTATGTTCACCTTGTTCCAATTGACTTTCGAAAAACTATAGGTACTTAAATGTCAAAACCATTTTTTAAATGAAATAAATGGATTAAAATGTCCACTAATAGAAATATTTATTTATTGGTACAGGGCAAACTTCCATGGCATTTAGAATTGCAGTGTATTTAGAGGATCTGAATGAACATCTTTTGGTAAAACATTTTCGAATACAATTGCATTTCTTAAATCATTGGCAACTACATAACGACAAT